CCACTACCACTACCACTACCACTACGACTACGACGACGACGACGACTACTACCACCACCACCACCACCACCACGACTACTACTACTACTACTCCTCCTGCTGCTGCTGCTGCTGCTGCTGCTGCTGATGCTACTCACTACTTGGCTGCGGCTACTGATTTACTAATTCCAAGCTACTGCTACTATGGATGGTACTGCTGCCGCTACTGCCACTGCAGGTGAACAGGTACATAGGCTCTTTGACCAAGGACACGCGATAATAACGACAGACGACAGGTATATCTCCATGTCGATGGACTGACGGGCGGTGACGGGGTCTCACTGGATGACAGAAGAAGGTCTAGACTGCGGTATTTCGATGGCATTCTCAAAGCAAGGTATTCACAGGAGGCCCTCAAAGCCACCTCCTGTGTCTGCAAACTCACTCGTCTGCCTTTCTTTGCACACCGCCACTGTTACCACTACCACCACCATCATTGCTACAACGACGAGGACTAACATCAATGACTGCAACTGTGATGTTCATGCTCGCACAAATATAGTGAACAAGTCAAGCAAACTGATGGAAAAACATCAACACCATATTCATATAACCACTCATGACAGTACCGTGAAGCTACTTGCCATCGTCATCGTCGTCGTCGTCGTCAACGCAATCATCGTCATCACCGCCATCATTGTCATCACGGTCAGCACAATTATCACTGCTCTCGCCACCATTGACAATCTTCATCCCGCTCCACCTCATCATTGTCATAATCTTCTTGTTCACCTTCATCCTGTCACTGTCTATAGAAACGAGCATATTCCTGAGTAACTGGGGCTCTGAAGATGTAATGTCCTGGAGACCAACCAATCGTTGCAGCCCCACGAAAGGCCTGGCTTCGCATGAGGTTGTCAAGCGTGCTCTGTAGGCTATTCCGTTTAGGGTTTAGGGTTGTCTACAGGGGTGTTTAGGACTAGAAGAGGGTTTTGTAGGGCATTGTAGGTTACTTTGGGATGGAATATACAGGGCAATACTAAAGGCCTGATGCGCCTGAATAAAAACTAGAAAGGTGTTGGGGGGTCTTACAGTATCGTTTATGTGCGGGGACCAGGAGCGGATGTGATACGCACTTGTTAGTACACTCATATCATTCTTTCAGCATCCATGCTTGTTTCTGCAAGTCGGGGAGAGGTTCGCAGGTAGCATTTCTTCTGCGACTCAGGCTAGCGTACCGCTGCTACGTGTCACCACGGTGAGTATCGTCTCGTCATGTATCAGCGTCAGGAGCCTTGCTAAACGTGAGGACGCAACAGCAGAGCAGCTCGGGCTAGTGGCAATTGCTTCGAGCTAGGAGATGATAACGGTTTAGGGTTTAGGGTTTAGGGTTCACAAAGAGGAGCCTGCCTGTTTATGTGGTTGCAGAGAACGCGGTTTCAAGTCTTGATGGAACCCAACCTTCAAAGCAACTGCTTCATTCACTTACTACATTTGCTACACGCAGTCACTCTGGGTTTGGGATCCTTTACGCCGTTTCGTTTTGAAGCTGAAGACTTCTTGCGATTAAAAAACCCAGCTGTTGAGATTTACTCAGGGCTTGTTGAGGTCAAATGACTTGGAAACCTTGCCCCGGGTGCTCTTTCCCAAAGCCGCCAATAAGCTTCCCGCAAGCTTGAAGCCAGGGTCCAGAAAATTGGGCTTTCGGAGTATTGGGGCTTCGTGTCTGAGTGGCTCGGGTGCGGCACAAGGCTCAATGCTCTAGATCAGGGTCAGGCCTTAACATCCATATAGTCCCTGTATGCGTGCGTTGTAACATACCCCAAGGCCCTATTCAGAGTATTAGTATGCGTAGTAAGACCCTGTGAGCTTCAGCTCGACAGGGCCGCCTCCTTGGATCCTCGGGGGTATGTATATATATATATATAACACGGTATGTGTGTGTATATACAGGTACACGCATACACACATATGTGTGTGTGTGTGTCTGCCTGTCTGTATATATATATATATGTATATTAAGATTATGGAACAATTCATACGTATACATGTATATATACATACACATGCACTCATACGTAATATACATACACGTGATGCAAGGTTTAGCTTTTGAGCTTGCTTGCGCCAAGGTGCTCTGTAGGGCAATGTGCAGGTCCAGACACTCCAGGAACACAGTGATCCAAGGCCTGCATGAGCAAAGTCTCTCCTGAATCCTGCAATTATAAAATCATAGACCCGGCGGCTGCTATGCTGATATAGGGCTTACTATAGGGGCCTTAACGAGAAGCATCGGGTTTGGGGTTCTCGGCTCCCTACTATAATCCTTATCAGGATTGATGTGAAGGGTGTCGAGTGCTGTTGTCACTGTCTTTACAGAGGAACATGTCTGGCACATTCTCTAACGATGCTATTAAAATGTGCAGACCAGCCGAATGCGCACACACACAGCTGAACCAAGCCGCAATAGCCTCAAAATCAAGACGCAAACAACCACCGAGAGCTTCCCGAACATACGTGGGTGGTTCTCTAAATTAGGATCCCTTCTTAGGTCCTCAGTGTAGTAAGAAGGGACCCCAAAAGAAACCCTGGTTTAGAGAACTACCCACATGAACAACAATGGATCGTCGGAGTACATTCAAAGAGCAAAAGCAGCAGCACGAATCCTTTCAATCACAACCCCAGCTGAGCCATCCTTCATAACCCCTGACCCTAAACCCCCAACTGCAAGGGTCTAAACTCCTAAACCTCAACCAAACCCCTACACCCGGAGCCTAAACCCTAACCTTATAGACCCGACGACGAACCCTCATCCCACCACCGCGGGTGTCCTTGGTCATACCGAAGGTCGGAGGGGTCACCTCAGCTTTCAGGCCCAACAAAAAGCCCTCGAAAGCCCAAGGACCCTCAAACTTCAGTCATTAGAGGAAGTAGCATCTGGGACTCAGAGACCGCCAGAGGATTTGTGAACGCTGACGAGAAAGAACAAGAAGTTTGGGTTTGGGACCTTCACGTGAGATGCCAAACGCACCGCAACAAGGCTTCCTTTGACCCTAGACACATCATGCTAAGCTCCCCAGCTCCGTAAATGTCAGTACTACTGCTGCAACTCATCCAGTTTCCCACTCTTCCCGCCATGACGTTTCTGACGGGGAGTATCGAATCCAGCTTGCATGGCCGACGCCCCTCCGACGACAAGGACAACCATGAGGACAAGTGCTACAGATGAGCGACGTGCTTGCGTGCTTGCTTTTGCACCTTGAAAATGTCAAGGCCACTTTCGATTGCTTCTGCTACTTTTACCGGGACTGGACGACGGCTCATACCACTTCTGCTACTAGTTCTAGGCTGTTGCTTCTGGTTTGCCTGCTGCTGCTATTCCTGTTTCTACCACGACAACGGCGACGACTACTAGTTACTACCAGTAACATACTAACACTGCCAGTGCCGCAACTGCTACTGCTACGACTTCAGCGGCATTATCGTTTTGCTTAGCTGAATGCTGCTTCTCCTCCTTCTGCCCCTCCTCCTTATCTTCATTCATCGTCCTCCTCCTCCTCCTCCTCCTCCTGCTCATCCTCGGCCCTCCTCCTCTCCGGTCCTAAAGTAGTCATCGTCGTCGCTAAATGTCCATCATCATCGGATCGCCAGCATCTACACGACCACCACCGTGAAACACAACCACTGGCATTGTCCGAAGTACCATCGCCGATGCAATCGCCCTCTCGTCCTCTTCAGGGTCAGCACCGTCATCATCATCCTCACCATCATGATAAAACATCATCGCAATAGCCATGAAGACCGCGACTTAGCATTCCGAGCTCTCCAAGGATCACTGAACCCCGTCAGGCCTACGTTTCGACCGAGAAAACCGAAACTCCAGCTCAAAGTCCTAAGCTTGGGCCCTGAAGCCCTCTCCTCTCCTCCCCTCTTCACTCTTTGGCCCGTCTGCCTTCGGTGGGGCCTTCGAGGCTCGAAGATCGGCGCAAAGGCGCCGCGCAGCGGCCTCTCACAGCCGTCAGAAACGGCAACATCACAGGGACTCTTTTTGAAAGGTTTTCAGGGTTTTAGGGTTCAAGGTTTCTGTTAGGGGTTGCAATGTCAGAGGAGCTCAGCTTGACGTGGAACTTGCGGTTTCGCAGCTTGGGCTCTAAGCTGCGACGTTATACGACATTGCGGCTGTGAAATTTGTTGTAGCCAGTCTTTTTGCAAACAACTAAGCAGCAGCTGGCTGTAACCTGACTGGCCCCACTCCAAGACGCTGATTTAAAAGCAAGAGCTGCTAAATCACGCTTCCTCGTTTTAAGCTGGAGCAGGCTCTATCCTCGGGCCTCTGTCACCTTCGCCTGGGCGTCATAGGCGAGAGGCAAGGCTGCCCTGTCCAGTGAATGAGTTCAGGCATAGGAAGCATCATGACTTCCTAGCTCTATAGCCGTCATGGTGTTTGGTACCAGTCGTTGAAATCATTACTAACTATTGTGTGTCACTGTTTTTCTTCCTCTTGTTGCTGTTTGCGTAAGAGCACTGCTGTCATGATGGTTGCAATGACAGATGAGAGAAAGCTTACTCTTGCTGCTAGTTTTCTTCTGGCCGGATCACATGAGGCATCTGTGCGACGAGTCCTATTCCAATTAATGCTCTGCTGTTGTTTCTGTTGCTACTGGAAGCAGGTCTTGGCTGACGATAGCGCTCATGAGAGATGAATAACAAGTAAGCAGAGGAATACATGTATGACAAGAAGAGCAAGGCGACACATGTCTTCACCAATACCCAGGCCACGATGATTCAATCATGGCACGAAGGAAGGGAGACTATCTACTACCTACCGCCACCCGTGCATATCGAGCCCTTGCCATAGTCCAGTAGGAAGAAGACGCTTTAAGTGGAATTCGAGTATTCGAGTCCGAACAAAAGTGCCGGGCATGCTGTAGAATCCGGCTTCAGCCAAAGTTATGCTGTAAGCCCAAACTTCTCTCTCCACCAGATTTCTCCATGCCTTGCTGCTTGCAAGCCTGCAGGCTTGTCTCCCAGTCCTCAAGGAGCTGAGCATGGTTGCCTCCACTTGCAGCTTACTTCATCACGCAGTCCCGAACCTGGGCCTTCCTGGGTTCGGGCCCACCAAACAAAGGACAGATTGCCGAAGCTTGAGCCTCACCCCCGAAAATCCTCGATGTGCGGAGGCAACGACCACCAGCGCTGCAGCTTGGCCTTTTCAGGGCATGTAGGTTTGAAGTCCAACCTCTACTCTTTACTGCAAAACGAGGGGTGCCAGCTAGAGTCATTGACTTTCTCGTTACGTCCTCATGCCATGCCCAGTGGCAACATCGGCAAGCTCTTCCGTTTTCGGCACCGGCGCTGTACCGCTTGCCCTGATGATGATACTTGTAATCACAATACTAGTAAGTCCCGTAGCAGCGACTGCAGTTCCGGTGCTAGTAGGTAGCGATTCCTACCCAGCCTCCGCCGCCTCATCATAATTATCATCGCCAGCACGGCACATGTCATCGTCGCTGTTATCAAACGGTCACCACCTGCACCAACCACCATCATAAACACCATGGCGATGATACAATCCAAAACATCATCATCATCATCATCGTCATCATTATCATCACCAGCATCATCATCATCATCATCATCATCATCATCATCACCATCATCACCATCATCATCGCCATCATCAGCATCATCATCATCGCCATCGTCATCAGCACCATCATCATCGCCATCATCAGCATCATCATCATCGCCATCGTCATCAGCACCATCATCATCATCATCCTCATCATCATCATCATCATCATCATCTTCATCATCATCATCTTCATCATCATCATCATCATGTTCTTCTTCATCATCATCATCATCATCATCGCCATCGTCATCAGCACCATCATCATCATCATCAACATCGTCATCTTTTCAGCATCACCATCTCGACATCAACAAATTCAATTGCTCGGCTGTCCGAACCAAAGCAACTCACGAGGAGAAGCCAAAGAAGACTGAATACCAACATCTTGAACACTGAACTTTTCAGCCGACACCGCATCCATCCAGCTGCACCTGCTTTGTCGTTGGCAGACTTGAAGCTTTCAAGCGCCTTGTTTGCCACCTTTGCGGAAAGCATTGCTAGTGATTGCGCCGGTCTTTCGCAGGATGAAGGTGTAGGTCAACTAAACAGACTGTCCGTTCCAAAGTGCCTTTGCACAGGGGGTTTCCGTGAAGTGGCCCTTGGCAACGCTTCAACCATCACAGGGTTTCTTCTCGGTAGGGCAACTTCAACAAGCATCTGCAATGGTCTATTGCAAGCATATGAAGGTTTGATTCAGGGTGTTCCCAGTTGAGCAACATGACTTCGTTTCTCGGGTCGACGGGTGGCAGAATGTGGTCAAGCGGAAGTATGTGCAACCAGCGGAGTGTCGACGCTTCCAGGCCGACAAATCCCAGACCAACACCCTCTGACTCGTCTGGGAAAGTTTCCAACTAAACCCCAAGGAAGCAGTGCAGCGGTTGCTGTGCCTCAAGCGCCTTGCTGTAGTTGCCGTTCTTGCAGTGCACCTTGTGCCGCTTGGGTTCGAGTGTGAACTACAGTATCGTGCATTCCGGCGAAGCTCTGCTCCACCCACACTTCCCTCCACCTTGTGTTTTAAGTGTTTGAGCAATCACAAGCCTGGCAGGTGCCCATGTCTGCAATGAGAAACCACTGTTAACAATGGCAATGCGAGCAACACTGCAAGCCCTGCATGATACCCCCACCTGAGTGACGACGCGCAACATGTGAGGATACACGCACATATGCGCATGCACCGCGCGGCAAACAAACAGACACACACACACACATACATGCGTGCATGTGCGGATGTATGTATGTATATATTATATATTGTATATGCCCCTTACATGACATGCTTGCAGAGGCATGCGGACATCCCTACATCGCAGAAGCAAAAGACTAGATACGTTGCTGGATGGCTAGGGGAGACCACACACAGATCATGTTAGTACACGTGTATGTGAGAGAGAGAGAGAGAGAGCATGCCAATCCGTGTACGTGCTCGTATGCATTCATATGTTTACATGACATGCTCATGTATGTATGTTGGGCAGGGCTACAGTTCATGCATCCACATGAATACACATATACCACGCAGACGGATGCACATCGGCGTCTGCATATACATGCTCGCAATGCCCGCACACACATGGTGGCCTGGCTCTGTGTATAGTGGTTGAGCAGGGCATCAATCTCCAAACAACATACTTTGATGCATACGCGCATATGTGGCCGGCAAAGCAGGTGTACCATCATGTCTCTACACAGCCGCACATAAACAGACAAGCGAGCAGATGACATGCACTACCTGTATATCCAAAAATTAAGCATATATCTGCCCTAGTAGACAGATGTGCGCATATAGGAATAAACGAACATCTCATACATACATGCATACATATACATACGTATATATGTACCTACTACGTATGTACACATACTCATACATGCACAAATACATTAAACATAAGCGTGTACGTCTACATATACATATACAAATACTTGCACATCTAGAAGAGTGTAGAGACGCAAATAGCCGAACACACCTGAGCAGAGCATATGTATCTACGTAGACCAATGAAAGACGCAGAATCAGAAGACCTCTGAGCTTGGCCTAGGAGACCTGACACAAGAGAAAGTGAGCGTCTGGGCTTCGCTAAGGATGATGAAGTTTCATGAGTCTATGCTAGTCTATCGCAGATGCTTCGTGTATTTGTGATGATTGCGGCTGGTGGGATTACAAGCCCAGGTTGATTTAGGGCATGATGTCCTTGTCTCCGCAAGGAGCTCATAAGGGAAAATACAGAAGAACACCGCACCCGGTGTGTGCATGCCGCCTCTGCTGTCTTCACTGCATCGCCGTCGCTCTCCACTGAATCAGCCTCCGCTCAAGCTTTGGTGGCCCGAGTCGGCTCGAGTATCGGGGTTGCTGGCTCAATCAGTGTTAGCTATAGAATATGTCCAACGCGCCAAAGTCATCCTATGTGATGTTGATAGTTTTCTGGCTAGTCTTATGATGCCCCTGTGCTGCGATCTCAAGAGAACAATAACAATGACCACAGCTCTGCAAACTACGAACATGTAAATTGGAGAGCAGATGCCACTTGTTGCAAAAATACTAAGTATCAACCCTGACTCAGTGTTGAGAAGCTCAATGCCCACCCACATTGCAAACAGTGTGATGATCCCAGCCTGCAGGGCCTTTAGCATGGGCTGAACTTCCTCATCGGGGACACCGATTTCCCGGAAGAGGAGCCTGCTTTGCGGCTGGCTGCGGAAGTTCCGTCTGAGTTCGGGTTGAGTTGCTTTCATTGTATGGCTCAGAAGGTTGCACGGCTAGAAAATTCTACGGTAGTTGCCTTGCTACAGCTACTGAGCCGGCTACTGGGCTGCTGCTTAGCACAGCGATTGAGACTACATAGGCCGACGAGGCTTGGTGCCCCATATTTCTCAACAATGCCTTTTGCAACACCTGTCGCACTTGTCATTGGTATTCCAGCTGCTGCCGGCATTGCGTTCGATCTCGGCGGAGTGTGCTTGCCCCTGATTGCTGAAGCTCTTGATTCTGCTGATGTTTTTGCTGCTGTTGTTACAGCGTCGGTATTTCAGATGTTGTTGTGGTAGCAGCGGGCCCGTCCGGGTCGTCGTGGTGGTTTTCGCGGTGTCGCTGTCGTGCTCGTCCTCGTCGTCCTCGTTGTGACTGCTGCGGTTGTCGTTCTCGTAGTCGAGGTCGTCTCAGTCGGTGTGGTTGCCGTCGGCGTCGGCATCGGCGTATCATTGTTGTTGCTGCTATACTGTTGCCGCAAACTGCTGTCATGCAAATCCGAGTGTCCGAGCATTCAAGACACTGTCATCTGCATCTCATGCATGCTAACTGCTAGACAGGCCCATCTGAGACTCGGGTACTGTCAGGGTTGTATGTGCGATCATGAGACGAATCCTGCGATTCTTACCAAGGTCTTGAACCACCATGGGACTATGGGCAGAGAAGGCTTTAAACTGCAAAGGAACAACTTTACAACGCTTCTTATGGCGACTTAGATATTGGCCAGAACTCTCTCAGATGTGTTTGAGTCATCTCCTCAACTTTCGCAACTCGATGCCCTGCAACCTGAGACTGGGTCTTCCGAATCGGAAAGGCCCTTCTTACAGCAATCCAAAACCGTTCATGCCGTGCTACTGTATCGGGACAATGCACTTGAGCATCGAATTGATACGGCTGAGCCCTTCTAAACACCCACCCCTGGAACCCTAGGAGCCAGATGCTAGCAAGCAGCATCTTTTCTCGCACAGGGCGGAGGATTCGTTCGCGCTCCCGCGCTTCCTCTGCAGCTTGGGATGTGGATGCCAGAGATGCTGGTTCCAGACCCAGGGCCGAGCATGTTCGAAATCCTGTAGTCTTTCTCCCGCCGAAAACCATAATTACTTCAAGTCTTCCGCTCCCCTCTTGAGTCGAGGTCCTAGTTCCTCGCAATTTAGGTTTAGGGCTTGTTGTGCCTTTTAGATTTCAAGTTCTTCCCAACAAGGGCTCCTCCTACGCACCCAGGCCTCCTCCTAACTTCCCAGCAGCTCGTAACAGCAATAATTACAAGCACTAGCAACAGTGACTCTCCGAGAGGCATCGCAATTAAAACCCCGAGCACTATGTCCCGGGCCCCAGATTGAAAGTTTTGTAAGCCCCGGACCCAACAAACACTTCAGATAAGCTAAAGCTTCGAAAAGCAACAAAAAAGTACAGGCTATCCTCACCCCCTAAACCCTCACCCACCCTCAACCTCCGCCCCCCTCTCCCACCCCAAATACCCCCAACTCAACAACAACTTCCCCCGTTTTCGCCCCAAAAAATCCTAAACCCTAATCCCTAATCCCTAAACCCTAAACCCTAAACCCCTAAACCCCTAAAATTCCCAAGGAAAAAGGTGGGAGCCTCCGGGGAGAGGATCTTCGGCTTCGGCGCCGTGCCCTTGAAGTCGCCCGGCTGGGCCAAGGCCCCCACACCTCACAAAACTCACAGAGCTTTAGGGTCTATAGGGTTTAGGGTTTAGGGTTGTAGGGCTGAGGGGGGTTCATCATTTTTTGTTTGAGGGCCTCTTTTTTCCTCCCAGCTGTAGGTGAGGTTTAGGAAGTTTAGGGTTTAGGGCTGAACGATGGCACTCCTTTTTGCGGAGCATTGAGCCTTCATGACTCATATTCTTGAAATTCGCTGAAGGGTTCCCGTCGGAGATGGCTCGGGATCAACTTTTGCCTAACCAAGCGTGTGGTGCGCGGTGTCCGTCATCTTCAGCGCGAGCCCGGGAGTTTGGGGTCCCTTGCGCTTTACATCCTTGGGCATTCAACCGAAGACGCCTCAGGAGGATGAAGCGAAGGCGAATGTTGACAGTGTGCATATGCCGGTTTACGATGCTTTGCTGATGACGACGACGACGAGGATGATGATGATGATGATGATGATGATGCTGGTGATATTGGCAGGTGATGGTGATGACGATGAGGATGATGATGGCGATGAGGATGGTTAGGATGATGATGATGATGATGACGACGATGAAGCTGCTTCCCGTGATGATCAGAGCGACAATCGCGACTGCCTTCAAAATCCAACGTGTTCGCAGCAGGAGGGGTATCGCGTCCCACGAGCTCGCTTCCCCCATACATGGGCCTGAATGATCAGACTAGGTCTGGGGGTATAGTATACTGTGACTGACTTTTATTGGATATAGGACAAACATCAGGTAGCAGCATCACAGTGAGACTAAGTATTTCCTCCCATATGCTACCCCACCGCTCATCCCAACCTCCGTAGGCCTTCCCGAGCCACCCGTACTCCAGCGGTTCAGGGCTTAGGGGCTTTCAGACCCCAAACCCCCAGATGTGGGAAATCCCAAAAGCTTAAAGCCACAAAGCAGACACCACAAAATCATGAACGCGATATCCTAAACTCCATGCCGCATGATCTCCGAGCCGGCCGACCGAGTTCTTTGAGGAGTCCTTTGGCATCGGACGTCGGAAAGTTCTAGGAGGGCTCTGCTCTAGGAGTCCTTTGGCATCGGACGTCGGAAAGTTCTAGGGGGGGTCTGCTCTAGGCTTTTTCTCCTTTGCAGCTTACGGCTTTCGGTTCTGGGGCTCAGCATAGATTTCGGGTTTGGCTTAGGGTACGAAGCACCAACCTCTACGGAGCTGCTGGCTAGCCGCAAGTGCGGGGGACATCGCATGAAACCCAGGAGACTTGAGGGTAAGTCATAGGCCCCAAATCAATCAGGTTTCTCATGCACGGTTCAACGAAAGCTCCCTACACCCTGAAATCACGACCCTAACCGCAGAAATCGGCTCTGAGTTGCAAGGACGCTTCCGTTTTTTGACATGCCCGCTCATAGTCATACTCGCAGAAGCAGAGTTACTACCAATGACAAGAAGAACCAGGATACCACAGTCGTAAAACGGTTAACAACCAGACCCTTAACAAGCCAGGATCTCGCAAAGTAAGAACAGTCCATGCAACATAGATAGATTAGTTTATGTTCAACAAGTTCCCAGCCGAATTAGAGTATCAATGCCACAAGGTGACGATGAGGGCGGCTCCTCTCTTGAGGTCTGCCAAAGATCCGTGTTTGCACATGCTTTGTAACGTCTGCAGAGCTGGTCTCTGTCTGAATTGCCAACGAGCATATGCCCAACATGGTACGATAGGAGGAAGCCTGCAGCCTTCGCTATCCGTAGGGGATGCCACTGCTCAAGTATTTTGCCCGGGATTTGATGATTCCGGTGCTTGCTCATAGAGCCGGAGAAGCAACACCGACTTCCTTGTCCCCGATACCCCCCCCCCATGCACCAGTACAGAGACTTGCAGCTACACAGCAACGGGCATCTTGCCGTTTTGCCAGTATCATGCCGGGGATACAGGAGGAGTGGTAATCAGTGGTGAGGTTTAAGGCCTGGAGGTTGGCATTAAGGTCTTATGGTGCGGCAAAGCATCGTAAAGCGCTCGTTGCCGCTTCCGTTGCTTCAGCATATTGCCCTGCCTCGACATTTGGAGTATGAAGCTGGCTAGTCAGGGTGTAGCAGTGGGAGCTGGGGTTTGGGTTTAATCAAGGTTTAACTGCAGGGAATCTGTCGCAGGAAACCAAATTTCCGGAAGCAGGCTTAGACACTTGCGGGCTTGGACGTATGCGACTTGCGAATTGTGCGTCTCGGTGCAAGTCTGAACAGGGGTCCTGGCTTGGCTAACAAGCATTGTGCACCAAAAGTAATTGCGCTGATCAGCAGCTTCGTTATGACAGCTAGCAAACACATTTGCTCACATTAGACGCATGTAGCCAGTGTGTTGAGGGCTGAAGGTATAGATGGGCGCAGGGTGCCTTAGCCTGATTGATACCCTGTACCCTACACAATGAAGCAATAACCCACATGACTCTGATTACACTAATGTCTAATGACTGACCCCCAAAAGACTCCAAACATTCATTTACAGCTGACCCTACCCCCGAGAGCGGTAGGTTAGGGGCTTTCATACTTAGAAAAGGGTTTTGGGCTCCTTGATCGCATACTTATAAGAAGGAACCTTAAGGAATAATGTAGGTAATTATTTAGGCTTCTGTACTAACCGTCAGTAAACCCGACTGATTTTGGTCCCCTCCTTCAGCTCAGCGCGTGCCAGGGCAACGAAGGTGGCAGCTGCGTCCTGACGGAAAGGGTTCAGGGTTTAGGGTTTAGGGTTCAGGGCCGCAGCGTGTTAGGGGGTTAGCTGTGGCCCAAAAGACCTACCTTTTTGAGGAACTGTTTGTAGAAACCATAGCCAGGAAGCCTAAAATGGTAGGTCTTGCGGTTACAGGTAGGGATCTAAGGCTTCAGGCCTCTGGGTTCAGTCCACCGAGATCCTGCTCTGTACTTCATGGACGGGCAGGCATACACAGGGTCCCTGGCTGGGAGAGAGCAAGCGTACACCGCTTGACAACCTCTCTTCAAATCGTCAAAGACTTAGAGATGCAAACTTGTCAAGCAGAAGGGATGGAGCAGAAATAATCTGTGAATAATTAAGAGCCCAAAAGCCACAAAAATCTGCCTGAGTGGCGCCGGAGCTGCGACCAGCTTTGGATTTGAGCTCGCCAAGTCCAGCGGCACCCTGTCACTGAGGATTTCTCAGCAGCGTCGGTCTAGTTGAATTTAGTAGCAGCTGACGCCTTCAAAGAGCTTGTGGCATCTACGCGGTTTTGGGTTTGGCGTTTGGGGCTTAGGTCGTCCAGCTGAAGTTGAGGCGAAGTGGCGGAGGTCAGGTGGGGACCCGTCGTGACAAACCATCCACCTCAGACCTGAACCCTGAAACCCGAAACCCTAAGACCTGAACCCTGAACCCTAAACCCTAAACCCTGAAACCCTAAACCCCTAAACCCTAAACCCTAAACCCTATAAACTCGATGAGGGCATTCTGGGACCTCAGGACTGCCCGACCTTTGAGTTCTTGGCTTCTCACATGCAGCCTTTTCACAGTCCAAAGCTTCCGCCAGAGAGCTTCAAGCCAAGAGCCCTGAAAGCCAAAGCTAAGCAATCCATCCTACAACTTCCATGGGCGGTTCAGAAGATTAAAAAGAAAGCCTTCTTTTCATCTCTCTAGTCCTCTATCGCCGAAACTCTCTGGAAGGGCCAGGATCGAGGTCTCGAGTTGGTCAACCCCAAATAGAGTAGGGTCTTGGAGGTTTTTTGCAACCGTAATAAGGAAGCCCGAGCAATAGTATTCTTAATTATTTAGGCCTCTACATTAAACCTATAAGCCCTTAAACTTACCCCGAATCCCAGACTCCCCTCGCTCTCCTCCCGAATGCCCCGACTTTTCGAGCTCCTGACCCTTGAGATGGCTCCTATTAGATCCTTAGCCGCGAGCTCCCACAGAACCTTCAATCTTAAAGCAAAACTCCAACACCTCCGGACACAGAAACCGCCAGAATCGGCTACTATCGGGCTGCCCCAGACTGAACCCAGAGGACCCTAAACCCAACAAGAACCCTGGCACCTTGCCCATGGCATCTGACACCAGGTCATTCCTAGTTTCGATGCAATGAAAAACTGTAGGGCGGAGAACCGGGTTCGGGGTGGTGGTTCCGGGGTTCTAGTATAGTATAGGACATTATCGCATATTATGGTATCTCATAGTATATTATAGGATACTCTAGCATATTGTGGTATATTCTAGTACAATATTTTACCGTCTACGTTGGGGGGCGGCATTCCTAGCTCTAACTTGCAATGTTCGTGTTGGCAAGAAAAATCAGGGCAAGTAAGCTGGCAACGAACAACTACTAGTGCTGCTATGCCTACGACGTGAGCCCTAAACCCCTAACCCTAAACCCAAACTCTAACCCTAACACTGAAACCCCTAACGAAGACTGAATATGAGGTGTTTGTACACCCCGGAACCCTATTCTAATTCTTAAAGCCTCTGTTCACCCGCGAAGCTTCACAATTGCAAGTGGCCTGAATCCCTTGCGCCTGAGCAAAGCTGAAGTAGTAAGCCCTATATTAAGCCGGAAGCCGGGAAAACGATGATTGGTTCTTTAGGTCATGAGGGCGATGAGTTTCCAACTTTGTGTCTTTTATTGCTGTAACCTTGCGCTATAAGCCGAACCAAGGCCAATCGGCCAATGGGTCTTGGATGGTACAGTACTGATTGTTCGGTAGTGCCATTCCTTCTGTGACGTTGTAGTCTTGGACCTGGAGCAGTTCTGATGTCGTGCACCTTTCAACCCCAGTAGAAACCCTGGCCCGAATGCATGCTCCTGCACGGGGCCTTCACTATGGACCTAAGGGACTTAGCACCAGCTGCAGCTGTCCATGGCCTCAATTATCAAACCCAAAGCCTTGACCTAAAGGCTCGTCAACCATAAAGGGCTGCTCAAAGGTAGTGGTGCTGTAGTTAGCTGTAAGAAGGAACCTTTTGTTTAGGGTCTATACGACGGGCACGGAGTCTCTGAAATCTTCAAGCCCGCACTCTGACAAGCGTCGCTTGTGCCAGCAGGTCGGCGCCGGCCTTTCCCCAGATCTCTGCAGAGAAGGAAGCCTGGGATTTCATTTCACCCAAAGGTTTACAGGTTGAGGTTATTCCTATGTTAGCGTTTAAGATTGGTTGAGTTTCAGGCTCAGGGCTCTCAAGTCAAGAACCCGAGCGTTTCAGAGCTACGGGCAGAAGGATCTGCTCCCGTTCCAGGGTTCTCGTGGCTCATTTCCGTTCCAAGAGCTTTCCACATCCTTTCTACTCAGCACATCAGCCCCCGACAAGGATACAGCAAACAGTGAGACTCAGTCTCAGCAGCAGCTTCGGCCTTAGAAAGAGGTACTAAGAGGGTCTTTATAAAAAAAAACCCTCTTTTCGGGCTCAGAAAGACTAAGAGGTACTAAGGCAAGGCCAGGATGCCATTGTCCCTGCGAGCCGGTCGTTGGCTCGGCAGCCGGTCCGCTGGGTCGAAAATCAGGCCCTAACCCCACCAAACTCGAGGTGAAACGACCCTAAAACCTTGCATTTTTAAGTAAATACCCTGATTTTTTAAGTAAAAGACCTGATGCCGGGGGCGGCTACGCCCAAAGGAAGAACGGAACTTGAGCCCAAAACAAGGTGGCGAACTGGTCTTTGAGACCTTGGCAGCTTCTGAGGCTCCAGACATGGACTGCTAGCAATGCTGCTGAATACAGGTCTCCTTCGTCTATAATCTCTGTAGGTTTGGCTTGCTGTTAGTCAGTCCTCTGATAAATATATATATATATATATATATATACTCACACAAACACACATATATACACATACATATATATATATATACACATACACGTGTAGTATTGATTTTTGTTACTACGAAAAGTCTGGGGGATAAGTAGGTTGCCACTGCGGTGCAGCAAGCAGCACCCCGTGTGACCAAGTCTAAGTGAGCTCCCACACATACTGTTACCTCATGTTCCCATCCCTCTATCAGAAGTGGGGTGTTTCGAGTGGTCTTTCGGCTCTACTTTAGGGCTTCCTGTTTACTTGGTCTTCGAAGCTTCAGAGGGGCTCCTTGGAACCTGAGCCACCATCAGCCGAAAAAGATGGCCTGTTCTGCTTAGATGCCCGTCATTTCAGCCTCCAACAGCTTCGTGCTTGTACGCGAGTAGATGCACCCATGATTCGTGAGAACTTGACAGAAGCCGCAGAAGCATGAAGAGTAGCAGTCTCTCCATCGATCTGTCCACCCCAGACCTACCTTTGTATCTGCCAATGACATATGAGTAGAGATATGTAGAGATGATACGTAAACCGAGACAGTCTAAGCCTTACACCGAAACGCTCAACGCTAAGCATCCGCCCCACCGAGCCACAAACAGCCTTTAAACCAAATAACACAAACCTGAGCCGGTCTTATCATCAATCGCGTATCCAAGAGAGATGTAAGACCTTACAGACCTCCAACAAAACATAATGTAGGGCCCTGCAATGGTCGAATCAGCTTTTTGGGTATTTTGTGAAATAGTTCGAACAAGGAGCCCCAAAATAGTAATCCCGGAAGGTCCTCAAGCAACACCCACAAGATACTGGAGGACGCAGTGGACATCACGCCCATGAAACCCGCTTAACGGAACGCTCGTAGGAACCCTTAATTGATTGGAACCTCAATCCCAAAACCCAAACCCTAAACCCACAACCCCCAAACCCAAAATCCTAATGCCCCCATCCAATCAGCCCTAGACCCAAAACCCAAAACCCAAAACCCTCAACCCTAAACCCGAACACCCCCCCAAAACTCTAAACCCTAAACCCTAAACCCTAAACCCCAGTCCCTGACCCCTAAACCACAGAGGAACACCCCCTAAACCCTAAACCCTAAACCCTCGTCCCTAGCCCCTAAACCACAGAGGAACACCCCCTAAACCCTAAACCCTAAACCCTCGTCCCTAGGCCCTAAACCACAGAGGAACACCCCCTAAACCCTAAACCCTAAACCCTAAACCCTAGTCCCTAGCCCCTAAACCACAGAGGAACACCCCTAAACCCTAAACCCTAAACCCTAAACCCTAAACCCCCCCATGTCTTTCGAAGTGCCCGGCCGACAAGGCGAAGACCTCCATGAGCCTTTGGATCGTCGTACCTCTCAGCTCTTTTGATTCCTGGGACTGTTTTGGGGGATTAGATACTTAGGTTTTAGGTCTTAGGGTTTGGGGTTTATAGGGTTTCAGGTTTGGGGTTGAGGGCGTACCAATTTTTGGGTCTGGTTGACACTTTCAGGCTCCTTATTCTTGTTTGGAGGACTCAGACGTTGGATTGTATGCTCAGGATGTAGTGTTTCGGCGTTGAGGTATTCCGATGATTGAAGCACGGCCCGAGTGTTGGTCCGAGGGGAGGGGGGCAGGAGGACACTGAGCTCAGGGTTTAGGGTAAAGAATTTTGAGAGTTAGGCCTTGGTTGCACGTAATTTAGGCGTTACACATCTGTACACGGTCAGCCTAGGACTTCTCGTGAGCTATGGGGCTTGGGGCTTGGAGTTTAGAGGACCAGGCAAATCCCAAGCGCCAAAAGCCCGGAATCGTAGCAACTCCTCTGTCTAAGAATCGCAATCCTGCTTTCCACTGAACTCAGACGGCTGATGCCGACGATGCTTCAGTCACTTCAACCGGCACTGGCGGCGGGGCACTTTCCACAGCGAAAGTCGGGCTTGATGCTGCTGCAGCAGTTGATGCCTGCAGCACTTTGCGTCATGTATGTGTGTATGGATGTGTGTATGTATGTATGTATGTATGTATGTATGTATGGATGTATGTATGTATGTATGCATGCATGTGTATGTACATGTATACATACATGTACATCCCGAGAGAGTGAGACGGAGATAGGTAGAGAGAGATAGAGTCCTCAATTCGATCATACCCTGTCACTCGTGCAGGGACAGAAAGAAGCATCTGTATGTACACGCACAGGTGTTGTTTCCTGAAGCTTCTGTCTTTCCAATCTGTATACGTTTCCAGTATCAGAAAATCTGCAAGTCCACATGAGTTCACATGATATACATACAAACATGCAGACATACACGTACCACATACATATATATGATCCCGGTTC